CTAAGTGCAGCATAAAGGGTCGACAATTAAGGTCTGAGTTGAGGCATTTGAAATGTAGTATATCACTCAGGTGTTGGTCCTGTCTAAATAAGGATTATCCCATGATGGAACAATGATGAAACTGTAGAATGTTGTGTTTGAAACGTTGAGTGATGTAATGGTTTGGAATGTCTGTCAAAGTAGTCTTTTGAAGTACACATCAAATGTACTTGGACGATACAGCGTCCTGTATTCTCGATACAATGACTTGTCAGTTGTTTAGCAATCGGGTGTGTATATATATATACACACATACATTGGCTAAATGATTTAATGACGTGTCAGTTGTTTAGCAATCGGGTGTGTGATTTAAATGATTTTGAATGCGTACTCTTAACAAGGGAAGAATTCCCAATGCAGGCTGAGATATTGAAGATAATCATCTCAAATTTAATAGAGGAGAAGAGAGAGTGATGGGAATACCCTAAAATAATGCAGGCAGGCAGCACGTTAGATTAATCTTCATAAAAGTTTAGGTAAAACTAAAATTCAAATTATTATTTAACGGAAACAACGTGGAACACGCGGAATTGAAGCTCTAGAGAGAAGGAACCCTGATGACGGGGAAGAAAGGAAGGAGGGAATAAGGTGGGCCGGCGGAAGCCATGGAACAATGGAAAGGGTCAAACGTAAGACAGTGACCACTGTATTTCTTTGAACGGTGCCGCAACTATCACTTCCGGCAAGAAGAGAGAAGATGGGTTGGGTAGGAGTAGAGGGATTATGCAAGGCATCAGTGTGATACCAGCCGAGAAACCTTGGATGCCTGAGCTTGCTAACCAAGTATGGAGGCTTAATGGTTGAGCGAACATTCATTCTCTTAAGAGTAAAGAAACAAGAGACAAAAAGCAGGGAGGTCGACTGTTTTCTCTGTTCCTTTTCCCCTTCAAATGAAGCTCTAATTTCTTTAAGAGAGAGAGAGAGAGAGAGAGAGAGAGAGAATTGGGATCGTCATACTTACTAATTGAGGGAGACTAGAGTTTCTCCTCCACCTTGTAGTTTGTACAATGTAAGTAGTAATGATCTCATGATGTTTGGGCATCAATAGGAATAGAGGCTTGTGCCAGTTTCTTTAGATTTTCAATGATCATAACGAGTCTGTTGTTAAGTCGATTGACAAAACACCTCGGCATTCATCCGGCAGGATCCAACTGCATATTCATTCGACAACAAAAAACTGTTTGAGTTGTATGACAATTGATCAAAGTTTCTTAACATTAATTCATACTCTGTAAACTGCAAATTCAAAAGGAAATAAGGAGGCGGCCTGAACAATATAGGCGACCATGCATGAATGACCTTGAAGCTTCTCGACTACCCATCCTGATTGCAGCAACAGCCCCCTGATGGCGTCATTTTGCTGTGGTTCCAATCCGGCAGCTATCTCCTTTGGAAGTGAAACAACTGCTACCACCAGGGTACCATCTTCCATATTTTCACATCGCTCGTAGACTACAAATTCTCTGTTTCGAAAGGGAGGCTTTGAATGATCTCTAAACATGAGACAGATGATGCTGATGTTATCTCCAAGATCTTTGATGTACCTTGCTTCTACGAGATGAGGATCCCATTGCTTGGCAGCATCGATGGTGTTGGGAATGATAATGAATTGATAGGGTGACAGAGAAGTGAGGAGGAAGCGGCTGCGGAAGGTGTGAAAGGATCCAGACGTGCGTTTGGAGATCTCAACTCCATTGCCGAGAGTAAGGATGGGTTTCCAGCCGTCGTTCACTCTGAACCAAGAAGTTTAAGATTACTAAGAAATTTTAAAATGACGGAAATTGAAATGGTGGGATCTTATTTTCTAGAATTTGTGATTTTTTTTTGTTTGGGAAATGACACATATTTTACATAAAATTTAAACTTGGGGAATTGGAGGTCCCAAATTCCAAGTTTTTTTTTCCATGCAGAAATTCTAAATTTCTATGCGTTTAAATCCAAACAAGGGAATTAGTGTATGTCAATTTTTAAATTTGGACTTTTATCTCAATTCCAAGTTTATTTCCCTATTCCACCTAGAACTTTAACTCACGCCAACACTCCCCCTCAAGTTGGAGCATAGATATCCTCTAGGCTCAACTTGTCAAGTGACTCCTGAAACCTGCACGACATGAGTTAGAATATCTGACAACTGTTCTTTTGTCTTTGCGAACGGAATGTCAACCAACTTAACATCCAACTTTTCTTTTATGAAATGTCTATCCACCTCAACATGCTTGGTCCTATCATACTACACCGAATTGTTAGCTATCTCTCATTGTGTTTGATTATCACAATACAACAGCATAGATCTTTTTTTGTTTAAACCCTATCTCAGTGAGTAAAATCCGAAGCCATAGAAGCTCACAAATACCATGTGCCATTCCTTTGTACTCAACCTCGGCCGAAGATCTTACCACCACATTTTGCTTCTTACTTCTCCAAGTCACAAGATTACCCACTACAAACATAACATATCACAATGTTGACCGCCGATCAATAACATTTTCAGCCCAATCTACATTGGTATACCCTGTCACCTCCATATACCCATGCCTTATGTACATTAACCCTTTTTCTGGAGCTCATTTTAAGTAACTTAGAATACTCATTGTTGCCATGTGATCTTCATTAAGAGCATGCATAAACTGACTCACCACTCACTGTGTAAGCAATATCTGGCCTTGTAAATGACAAATAAATCAATCGCCTTACCAACCTTTGATACCTCTCCCTATTTGCCGAGACTTGATCCTGATAGATCGCCAGATGATGGTTCTGCACAATAGGTGTATCTACTGGTTTACACCTTAGCATACCAGTTTCAAACAGAAGATCCAACACATACTTCCACTGTGACAAGTATATTCCTTCCCAAGACCTTGAAACCTCAATCCCTAGGAAGTATTTAAGTCCACCAAGGTCTTTCATCTCAAACTCAGAAGACAAGTATCCCTACAATCGTTCAATTTCCATTGTATCATCACCAGTGACAATCATATCATCCACATATATAAACATGGTTACGTTGCTATCCTTGCGTTTGATGAACAAAGTATAATCTGAGTTACCATGTCTATACCTGTACTTCTTCATTACATGGGTGAATCGTCCGAACCATGCTCTGGGTGACTGTTTAAGACCATACAGTGCCTTCTAAAGTCAACACACTTTCCCGCTAGAGTTAGCAGTGCCATATCTTAGTGGAAAATCCATGTACACCTCTTCCTTTAAATCTCCATGCAGAAATGCATTTTTTACATCAAACTATCTCAAAGGCCAATCAAGATTAGCATCAAGAGACAATAAAACTATAATGGTATTCATTTTTGCAACAGGAGCAAACATTTCTTGATAATCAACCCCAAAAGTCTAGATAAACCCTTTGGCCACTTGTAACAGGAGCAAACGTTTCCATTCACCTTATGTTTGATAGTGAAGACCCACTTGCAACCCACTTATTTCTTTCCCTTAGGAAGTGGAACCACACTCTATGTATTATTCTTTTGTAATGCTTTCATCTCAACTTGCATGGCCTCTGTTCATTTCGGATCTTTCAATGCTTCTTCCATTCTAGGGGTATTTTGATAGTTTCCATCTGCTGAAGAAAATCACATATTTCGTTGGAAGTCGATGAGTGGAGACATAGTTTGTAGTAAAATATTGCACATTCTCTTTTGGAAAGTATCTGTCTGGTGGTTTTCGTTGATTTTGTCAAAGAGGTAACACATAAGATGGTGTAATAATACCTGAATGGGTACTTACCTCATGGATGTCCATTTGATCATGGTTGTGTACTTCATGTTCTACTTCTGCTTCACTGAAATTGTTCCGAGGCCTACTACTCGGGCCTGAACCATCAATCCCCAACCTAGGCCCCTCGGATCACCACTATTTCTGTCCTGATTTTGTGCACTTAGGCTGGCAACAAAAACAACATTACGCCTACTTGGGCCATTATCATTACACCCATTTGGGAAAACATATGGCCCATTTTTTCCCGCATTATCATGGCAAACATGCAGCCCATTCTTTTTCGCAACATCATGGCAAACATGTGGCCCACTTTTTCTAGCATATCTTGCGTCATCATCTGGGTTGTCTCCATGTTCAGTCAGCCCACTTAGGCCAATGTGTTCAATCACCTCACGGTCAGTCAGCCCACTCAACCTACTTGGGCTATCACGTTCTATAAATGGTTCAGAATCCGCAAGTGGTGTTATCTCAACGACATCGAACCTGCCATAATCTTCAATTACGGTTGTCTCCCCCTGAAGAGTACGACAGGAAGAAAAAAATATTTCGTCTTCGAAGAAGGTAACATCCATGGTGATGTATGTATGTTAGCTAGATGGATGATAACATTGATATCCCTCTTGTTAAGGACTAAAGCCAAGGCACACACGCCGCATCGTATATGGATTAAGTTTGCTTCGTTGAATTTTGTGGAGATGGACATATGCCCGACAACCAAAAACCTGGGGTTCAAGATGAAGGGTGCAGAAGAGCAAAACATGATCGGCAAGCACGGCCAAGGGTGTTATAAAAGAGAGAACACACGATAGCATTCAGTTCATGAGACAAATAACATAAGTTACGGCGTCAGCCTAATATGTCTTAGGTGCACAACTACTAATGAGAAGAGTGCGAGTAATCTCTAGTATGTGTCGGTTTTGTGTTCGGCGACTCCATTTTGCTGAGGGGTCTGAGGATAAGTAGTTTCATGGAGAATGCCTTTTTCCTTGAAAAATTGAGAAAGATCTTGATTAAGATACTCACCTCCGTTGTCGGACCGAAGCACCTTAATAAGAAGTGAGTATTGAGTGTAGACCATTTAATAAAAGATTTTGAAGATTCCACCCACATTGCTTTTAGTTTTCATGAGGTACAACCAAGTCATTCTGGTGCAGTCATCAACAAATGTTACAAACCAACACAAACCATGCTAAGTAGTAACCAAAGATGGGCCTCATATACCAAAATGAATTAACTTAAAAGAAGCGGTTCTTTTATTCAAACTCATAGATAACCAAAAGAGGCATGACCTAATTGACATTGCCATAACTGAACAGTCTTCAAATTTCCATTGTCACAACCTTGAACTTGATGAACACGGCCATGTGCAACATCATCAACATAGTACAACCCCTCCTCTTAATACCACGCTCAATGATCACCTGAGTCCGGATATCTTAAAGTAGACAGAAAATCAGAAACATTAGCACAATACAATTTAATTGCTAAGTGACCTGCCCCACTGATAATAAATGACTAGAGAATATGGGAACAAGTAAGCAGTTGTGTAAGGAGAAAGTAGGAGTGAGTGCTATTGAACTTGCCCCTGTGATTGGGGCAACACCTCTATTTATAGTGACAATACTATCATGTGGAGGTCTTGTTGTTGAATTAAAAATAGTATGGTCAAAAGTCATGTGATCGGTAGCATTATAGTCAATGATCCAACCTCTATCAAGATTAACGGATGCACTTAATGCTATGCCCATGTTACCTGGATCGTCGGTTTGTGCTTGGGAAGCAATAAAATTTAATAATGAAAGCTGCTTGTCCAAACTGTTTGGTTCCAGATCACTCGCACGCCCAAAAAACTGACAGTTGGCTACTGGTGGGCTCAGTAGGCCTACTATCCCCTTGCTGCTAATGCCAGAGATTGGCCCAACACTTGTGTCAGTGTGCCCTGCTTGCTACCTCACTTGGATTTGGGCTTTTGGATCAACTAGCCCAACTTGCTGGGATAAAATCTGGCAGTGCACGCTAGAAGTCAGGTTGGAAGAGTCTGGATCATCACCGGATCCTTTTTGTGAAGATCCTGAGGATCCATGAATCATGTCCGTTCATCGTACATCGTGCGATCAGAAATCATTTTAAATTTTTTTATTTAAAAATAAACATAAACAGTACTTGACAAAAACTGACCGCATAATGTACGATGAACGGACACAATTCACGGATCCCCAGGATCCTCACCAAAAGGATCCGGAGAATATCCTGTTAGAGGTTGGAGAACTCATTCAAGGCTTGCGCTGAACCTAAGATTGGAATCACAGATTGGTTGTCGGCTATGGGAGTAATCTTTGCTTTAGATTTCTAATATTTTTTTCAATATATGGTGTCTCTTGCTTTGAGACACAAGATTTGGTAGTTTAGGTTTATATGTTCTGGCTAAGTCCATATCTTCCTGTTAACAGAGGAAGTAAAGTTCTACTTTATATATATAGACACACACACACACACACACACACACACACACACACATATACCCTAATCTTGTTCACTGCCATCTTCGGTGCTTCTCTTTGTTGGCTGCATAACCACCATTGGAACTGAGCTCAGAAGTCTAGAAACAAGAGACCCTTGTTAAAACCCCAAACCCAGGTCTTGAAATAAAAGACCTGATCCCGTTACAACCCAAACCCAGAAAAGCAAAACAAATGTGGGGCCCACTCTACATTGAACTTCAACGATCCGAACCGTCTATTTTTTAAATCCCGATTCATAGATCATCCTTGCAAAAATATAATTCAATCCAAAACTATTTGCCTATTTAATGATCAAAATAAAATTTCATTGTTTCTTATATAACAAAGTATTCATTAATTTCTTTGAACTTAATTAGATGCCTTAAACATTTCTGATTTGGCTAGATCATCCTTGTAAAATATTAGCCAAATCGAAAATGTTTAAGACATCTAATTGGGTTCAAAGAAATGAACGAATACTTTGTTATATAAGAAACAATGAAATTTGATCTTGATAATTAAATAGGCAAATGGTTTCGGATAGAATTGAATTTTTGTAAGGATGATCTATGAATCGAGACTTACAAAATGAATGGTTCAGATCGTTGAAATTTGATGTGGAGTTATAAAATCTAGAGGTTACAATGGTTCGGATTGTTGAATCGAGACTTACAAAGTGGGCCTCACACCTATATATATATATAGAGATAGGATCAAGGACAAACATTTGGACAAATATTTTTACACTTGTTTGTAACCTTTAGATTTTATAACATTTAACGATCTTGATTAAGAGAGATGTGGAAACTTTTATACATTAAATGACTTGGATGATGATGTGGAATAGAACTAACAATAAATAAAAATAAAACTAAGCCCAGATCCGTAGGGATAGAACAAGCTTAGATCCGTAGTACCCTTAAGGTAGCGGAAAATGTCTTTAACACCAGTCCAGTGTCTGCATGTTGGTGCATTACTGTATCTTGCCAAAAGATTAACAGCGAATGAGATGCTGGGTCTAGTACAATGAGCTAAGTACAATAAAGCGCATATCACACTTAGATAAGGAACTTCAGGCTCCAAAATCTCTTCATCATCCTCATTCGGATGGAAGGGATCTCATTTTGCATCTAGCGATCAAACAACCGTATGAGTACTCAAAGGCTTTGCTTTATCCTCGTTAAAGAGGCAAAACACCTTCTGGGTGTAGTTCGATTAATGTACTAAGATTCCATATGAACAGTACTCTATCTCGAGATCGAGATAGTATTGAGTCTTTCCTAGATCTTTCATCTCAAATTTCAACTTCAAGTGCACGGTAGTTCTTGTGAGCTCTTCAAGAGTTCCAATGAGGTTCATGTCGTTGACATAAACTGCAACAATAAAAAAACTAGAATGTGACTTCTTAATGAACATGCAAGGACATAGTTCGTTGTTCAGATATCCCTGACTAGTCAAATACTTACTCAAACGGTTATACCACATTATTTCGGATTGCTTCAAACCATAGAGTAAACGCCTTAGCCGAATTGAGAGCATGTTTCGGGGTTTGGAAATATTTGATCCAGTCAATGTAAGTCCTTTGGGAACTTTCATATATATTTTCGTATCAAAATCCTCATAAAGATACGCATTTACTACGTCTATCAGCTGTATACTTAGTTTTTTTTAGAAACTACCAAACTGATAAGGTAGTGAAAAGTAATCACATCCATAACGGGTGAATAAGTTTCGTTATAGTCAATCCCGGAGCGTTGTGAGAAGCCTTGCGCAACAAGACGAGCTTTGTAATGCACAATTTCGTTCTTTTCATTACGCTTTCGAACGAAAACCCATTTGTAGCCAACGGGCTTCACATGTGGAGGAGTAGGAGCTATAGGTCCAAACACCTTACGTTTCGCAAGCAAATTGAGTTTGACTTGGATTGCTTGTTTCTCGTTTGACCAATCAGTTCTACATCGACATTCATCAACGGAATGAGGTTCAATGTCATCGCTCAACATGATCAGCTAAAGTGGTGTCTCGGGCCTCCAGGAAGGAAGTCTGTCCTACATTTGGTACATCCATCTTTGTAAGCACATTCGCAACTGGAATATGTGATCTTGTCACTCGCGCTAGATCGGTGAAATTATTTAGCATGCTTTGAGCTATGCTCTGAAGATCTAATATGCGCTGCATTTCAATCTCTCAGATTAAGCGGTGCGGGGATCTAAATGAGACAAAGTAGGAGTTGTCCACGATAGTTCGCATCGTTCATCAGGAATGTTGACGTTCTTGTCTCCCCCTAACGATGGGAACATTGTCTTATAGAAGTGACAATTCGTGAAACGATCGGTAAACAGATCACATGTCAAAGGTTCTAAGTAATAAATAATCGAAGGAGAATCATATTCGACATAAATTCCCATCTTTTGATGAGGCCCCATTTTTGTACGTAAGGATAGCGAAATCAGCACATAAATCACAAAACCAAAAATGTGTAGGAGTTTTCCCAATGATTTAGGAGCTTGGTACATATGACCAACGATTTAGGAGCTTGGTACGTATGACCAACGATTGAGCAATCATTTGTAAGTGCTTAATGAATGCTTTTGCCGGGCCGTTCTGGGTGTGAACATAGGGTACATGATGTTCAATTCAACCCCAACCAACATGCAATAGTCATCAAAAGTTTTAGATGTGAATTCTCCAGCATTATTCAATCAAATAGATTTGATCGAATAATTAAGGTGGTAAACCCAAACCTTGTTAATCTGAGCCACCAGTGTGGAGAAGGCAATGTTCCTTATGGACAACAAGCACACGTGTGACCAACATGTGCAAGCGTCAACCAATACCATAAAATAACTAAATGGTCCACAAGGAGGGTGAATTGGTCCACAAATGTCCCCCCTGAATCCTTTGTAGGAAAAAATAGAAGGATTCGAACGAATCTTGTCATAAGAAGGCTTAATAATAAGTTTTCCATAGAACATATTTAACATGCGATTCCTTGAATTGAACCTAAACTTCGGGTTAATGGATGCCCATGTGATGATTTGAGGATACAGTGTATCGCTGTTCATCCAGGGTGTCCACGATCATACTAAAGCGTAATTTCATGCGTGGTCCCTGAGGTAGGGCCGGCCATATAATGGCTTTCTATAGGGCGTATGGTTGTAGTATACAGACCACTCGTGATACATTCCATCTTCTTTAGAATATGATTCTGGCCATATTCGTAAGAAGTGATGCATAGAAATTCAACTCTATTTTCTCCATAGGTTTCAGTGTGGTAGTTATTGTCTAATTATTGTCTCGAATATCTTTAAAGCTCAAGAATGTTCCTTCGGAACATGGAGAATAAAGTGCCTCTTGAATTGTCAAAATAATGTCATTGAACAACATTATACAGGCATTTCTGTATCCTTCGATCAGGTTGGATGCCTGAGAAGGTTGTCAGAGGTGCATTGTTAGGTACAAAGTTAGTGAAATAAATGCGTTCACGTAAAACGGTGTGTGTGGTTGCACTATCAGCAAGACAACTAACTTTCCTACTAGTCGTACCTAGAAATAAAATTAATTGAACCAGTCACATGCATAAAAGTTTGAAAACTTAAAACCATTCAATTAATTTTTTTCGAGAAAAGTTTATGAACTTTTGGTTCATAGTACCTGCAAACAAATGCATGTATATACAAAAATATGTAACAAATATATACAAGTAGGTCTTCAGGGCCTATAATTATAATTGAATTAATTAGTTAGACTTCAGGCCAAAATTAAAGTTTGGGCGAAAAAATTAAAACCCAGAAGGCCTAAAAAAAATAGGCAATATAATTGGTGGTCCAAAGCATTGGACCAAAGTCCTAATGGGCTTTTAAAAATCGTGAAAAAGAATGGGATCCAAGCCCAAAAATGGGCTGGAATGTCATGGGCCAAGAGTCAGGAAGTAGGCCTAAAACTGGGTAAGATCTCGTAGCCTAACGAGGGCAACAATCATGTGCTTTGCAGGCATGGATGGACCAGTGTGTGGCTGTGATCTGGTGCGACACTTTGCAATGGAGTGCCACAGCCTTTTGGGCTGTGATCGTGTGCTTCGCAGTGCATTGAGACACCATAGCCCCATGGGCAATGTCATACGGGCCGAGCCAAAGCAATGGGCCATTGTAGGCGAGCCCAACGGAAGAAAATTTATTTATTTATTGAAGCCATGAAGAAGGCCCAACTAGTCTCGGGTTTTAGCCCAAGAAGATCCCAGCTTTGCTGGGTATGGTCACCTAGGAAGAAGGTCGGTGACACACCCCGACCTAGGAAGGTCGAAGCATGCTGGCCATCACCGTGAGTTGACGTAACCATAAGGGTAAGTGATGTAAAAAGTGAATAATTTCAAGACTAATTGAAACTAATTATACTAAATAGTGAAAGAGTGTGCAATCGTGGGAAGAACCCACTACAATTATTCAGAGCGTAATAGTCAGTGAGATTACAGAAGAGTAGTCAAAGTAACTAAAGTACACTTATTACTTAACAGTGATAAGTTCGTACGTCTAAACAGAAGAAAATGTTAGAATTTCTGAGATTCCTCGAGTGCCATAAAGAGTACAGCTATCTAGGTCTTGGAGGGGCGAAAAAAACAAAGTTGAGTGGGTTAGCAAACAATGCTTATATGAAAACCTTTATTTTCGAATATACTAACCCCTCGCCGTAAAACAAGTATAGTTTCCTTAAAACATACTACGTAGGTATGTAAACAATAAATCAACAGCATTATAATGGTATTATAACCAGAAATATGCTAAGTCATGATGTATCAAATGCCACAATAATATAATCATGTGATAATCAAGTATAGCTAAGTGCTCATCCATCTAGGCTGACACACGAGTTTGAACAGATAATTTCTGACACGAACAAGACTGGGTGTAATCAATATGCTCTAGTACTACGATAACGTGAATGCTGGTGCAGAAGCACGATCACATACAAGTCGGATTGCATAATGCAATCTACTCGATATGGCTGTCACCTAACTTGGATCCAAGGCGAGCGAACGGTGGGATGTGAACATACACGTGAAGGACTAGCCCTGGCCTTGGCCCTGGGCTGAGTACTAACATCGGTGAAGCAAGATGAGCATGTACAAATATGTATGAATGTCATGACAGTAATATCTCAACCATATAGCAGCATTTATCACAATTATATTGCAGTTATCAATTATTTGGCAATATATACGTAAAGTGATGTATTTATGCAATTCTGGAAACTATAAATACGTATAGATATAAAAATAAACTGCCCACTCACAAGTACGTTACTGGGTCGTAACCTCTGAGCCTAGCTTGGCCTCGAACGTCCTTGGGATACGTTTCCCCTATATGTGAAATAACTAATTTTGAATTAATTAAAGCACATATACGTAAACCTAAATAAAACCCCCATAGTTTGCTCAAACTTAGGGTTTAAATATACCATCGTGACCTACTCAATGTCACGAACATCCCTAAATTTTTAAAATAATTTTTGGACAGCTCACGTGCCCCCACGTGTCGGCAATGGCAAGGCCAAACGCGCCCCCACGTGCCGTCAGCGTGACCGACGCCGTTAGGAATATTCCGTTAAACGCTAACAGAGATTAACAACGTTACCTGAATCCTTCAGGTATATTCTGTCAACTCTGACGGAATATTCCATCACCTTCTCCGATTGTCCACGCCGTCGCCGCCGTCTACAACTAAATTTTCGTCGGATTTCTGGGAAAATTTCAAATTAACATAACTTCTTCATTTCTCATCCATTTTTAACCCACTTTATATGGATTTGAAGCTAATGAAGTGTAGAATGGCGTTATACCTGTTTGGAGTCCAAAAAGTGGACGGAGGTTGTCGGAAAATGCCTCGAAAGTTCCGGCCAAAAGTGAACTCCTTGAAACTCGGTCGTTTCACGTTGACCTTCTTCCAAAACAAGCCTAGGACCCTTAGAATGTTGTGTAGAAGCCTTCCCAAGCTTTAAAACATCCTAACTTGTTTGAAAACACGTTGATCTCAGTTCAGCCGAGTTCGGACCTTCCGAGTTAACGAATCAAAACTCGTTTAAATCAGGTTCAAGGACATGGTTGTGATCGTGGGATTGAGATTAGTACAATGGGGTAGTTTTTAGGTTCGTTCTGAGAAGTTTAAGGTTCGTTCAAGGGGTTTGCAGAGAGGGAGAGTATACGGGAAAGAGAGAGAAGGAAGAGAAAGAGAGAGTCCCTTTTTCTCTTTTTCTGATTGGTGGACAAAAATGAGGGGGATATGTGATTGGTTGGTTTGAGAGTGAATTGAGGAGATTGATTGGTGAGTATAATAAAGGGGGATAGGGCGCATGAGTAGGCTTAGGGAATCTAAGGATAGGGTTTTGGATTTTCTCCAGTAAAAGGAAATCGAAGTATATCCGAAATAGGTATTTCTACATTGGTAAAATCTACACAGTCTCGTAATAACGTGCACAATTTATTTACGAAGACGATAAAATAAATAAGGAGGAAATAAACACGTCCACGTCGTTCGCCACTAAGGGCAAAACCGTCAATACACATACTCAGGGAGAAATTACATAGGAAAATTAGGGACGGGTCGTCAAAGCCTGCGCTGCCATTTTCGACAGTCGTGTTCTGGTCAAAGAACTCTAAGCGAGTCACGAGTTTGACGTGGAACCTCGATGGTGTGATGGAGAAAGAAAAATCTTGAAGTCAATAAACCAAAAACCCTCAAATTCTAATTTGGGTTTTTCGAAATTCATGGAGATTCATATGAATCTTGGCCAAAATCATGGTCGGTGACGACTGCAGGTCATCGGAGATGGCTACCGTGGTGGCTGGGCATGGCTGCGGGCCATGCCTGTGACGTCGTGAACATCATTGGGATTTTGGACAGGTGGACGGCGTCCAAACGACATCGTGGGTTTGGGTTCTAAAGGCTTGGAGCTTCTGGCTCCGGCTTGGGCTCGGCGACGTGACTCGAGGCTGCTGCACAGTGTGGGTTCCAAAACCCTAATTTTCAAATTTTTTGTTTTTTTGTTTTTTTGTTCAATTCAATTCAATTGAATTCATGCATAATCAAACTATACAATTAATGCATGAGCAGATATTCAGTATGATTCATAGCAATATCAATTCACATAATTCAACAATTATGAATATAATGCATACACAATTTATGTAGAATCTAAAATTCGAAAAATGTAAAGTTGGGTCATGCATTATAGTGAATGTTCAGGCTATCAGAGCTATAAAAATATCGAGATAAAAATTGTTGTTTTGTAAGAACCTGATTGCATGATGATATTGATGAACTAGTTTGATGCATAAATTTTTTCTTCAATTTCGACTTTTCATCTCCAAAGCTTGAATCATGTTCAAACAAAAAATTTAAATTGAATCAATAAAAGTATATGAATCAATAAAATCAAAATTTAAAAATAATTGAAACATAATACTCCCCTGATTGAAGACGAATAATTTTCATGTCAGATTCCTAAACGTAGCGATAGGAGCGTGCTGATAACGTGTTGTGACTTATTTTATCTGACAAGGAGAGAGAGGGTCGGCGGCATAGAGAGAGAATAGAGAGAGATGCGTTTGTAGGGCTGTGTAGATGATGTGTTATTCCCCTAGGCATAGCCTTTATTTATAGTAATAAGGGATGGAAGAATCCTTCTCTTCCAAGAAATACAAGTCATAATATGGAAGAATAATTAGTATCAAATCTAATTTAGAATTTACACAATCACACTTAAATATAAAGTTTATAACATAAAGTATTTTTTGAACTAAATTTCAAAAATTATATCTTAAAAAAAGTACTTCAAGTGTTTTTAATATTCAAACATTTTCACCAATGCACTTCTAGTCGTTTAAAAAAGGGAGATGGATTGTCTACCCTCCCCTCTCCATACCCTCCTCATACTCTCTTGTTTTGTGCGATCACGGTTAAGCCACGTCAACATTTGTTTTTTGTCTTATTATTTTTATAAAAAAATTAATATAAAATATTGACATGGTTTAAACGTAATCGCACAAAACAGAAAGGCATGGAGATGGTATAGGAAGGGGAGGGCAGACAATCCATCTCCCTAAAAAAGTGTTTATCCGTGAAAGAAAAAAAACTAACAACTTCCGAGCAAGCTAATCGGTGAAAATGATTTAACAAATTATGGGCGGAGGAAGGGAAAAACAAAAATAGAAAAGAGAAAAAGAAAAGAAAAGGAAGATGCCAAGTGGATAAAGATTGGTGGCGGCAAAGGGGTCTGGATGTTGTGGGAGGTTCGGATGAAGGTGGGGAGTCTGTCTGCGTCTGGGCAGTAAAGGAAGGAAGCGAGAGAGAGATTGAAAGAGAGAGAGAGAGAGAGAGAGAGAGTAGTGAAGAAGAAGAAGACGGAGGAGCCGGGAGATTGAGAGTCCATGAAATGAAATCGGCGCCATGGTCGTCTTTAGTGTTTCAGTTGCCACGCCCACGAGGTTGCTATGGCTGTTCTTGTGCCCAGTTTCAGTTTGTTGTAATGGCCAAGGGCAAGAACAAGTCTCAACAATCATCGCCTCCTCCTCCTTTGGTATTCTATCTCTCTCTGCATGTTTACTTGTTTCTTTGTCAAATTTTCAAAAAAATGTTGTGTAATCAATCTGGCCTGGCGAATAATAAGACTGATTGATTAGTTTGAAATTGAATATTGAATAATGATTAATAGGGGTCGGAGGCGCCAACTCCTCCGAGGATTACATCAAATGTGAGGCAGAATTTACAGCTTTTAAAGTTATGGAAGGTTTGCCTACTACTACTTCTCCATTCTCATTCATTCATTTGGTAAACGCAAACAAACTACTTGTACTTGAACTGTAGGAGTACCAAAACAGAAAGTCTAGCACACCTAAGCACTCTACTAGATACCGCCGAAAGAAGGTCCCCAAGGAACAGCTTCCCCAAGACCCTGACCTCTACCGCGATCCAACCACCACCCTCTATTAGTACTACTACTACCACCACCACCCACTCTCTGCTTTCTTCTCTCCTTCATCCCTCCTCTCCCCTTTTAAGCTTCTTCCAAAGCTCACCTATATTTTGTTTTTCCTTTTCACAGTACTAACCAGGGTTGGGACATTGCTGTGCCCGTCTTGCTTGTTGATGGATATAACCTCTGCGGTTACTGGGCCAAGCTCAAGAAGCATTTTATGAATGGGAGACTTGATGTTGCTCGCCAAAAGTTAATCGATGAACTTGTTACTTTCAGCATGCTAAGAGGTTTGCACTTTCTTTCTACCTATTCAATAAACAATCTCTGGATTTAGGAAGCTTGAGCCATTTTTCATAGACTGCTGTCAAATGATTTCTTTAAGAAATAAGGGTGGAAACAAGAACACAAAGGCCGAGCTGTGTGTTGTTTTGTCTTTATTAACTACATGGTGCTTGTGAGTACGTTTTGTAATTTAGTGGGAAAAAAGCTAAAGCTTTGTTGGATTGCTTGGTACTGGCAGATTTTCGGAACATCTGGGTGGAGGTTTGTAGAAGAGTTTTCAGGATTACAAGGATGTCCGAGAAGATGAAATCTGGGACCAAGTTAGATACTAGCATCTCTTTGGGCATCAGTTTCGGCTGAGCTTAGGGAAATCTCTCTCTTTTTTAATGATGGACTTATTAGCAACCGTGATATGAGTTTAGATTTTGAGTTGTGGTTTTTCTAACTTAGCTTCATTGAGAGGTATGGTTGTGTACTTTAGGTTCTATATTCAGGGTTTAGCTGTAATATCAAGTTTTGCTGTAATATCATATTTGTAAGAAATATTGTATGATAACATTGTGCAGGGCTCATGTTGTGTGTGCCATGTTAAATTATTTCAATAAAATGGCTTTCCTGAAGTCTTTTGTCTTTTGTATATCTGAATTTCCATAACTCACCTATTTATTTCTGGAACATGTACAGAGGTGAAAGTGGTAGCTGTATTCGATGCCATGATGTCTGGACTCCCCACACACAAGGAAGATTTTAATGGGTACAGTTTATGAACTCGGAAAATGACATATTGTGATTTACTACCTAATGAAAAGCTTTTTTTTTTTTTTTTTTTTTGTTCAACTGTCCTTTTGTCTTTTAGTTTTTTGGGGTAAAGATGGCAGGGTAAAACTGTACCTTATCTTACTTCCCTTTTCGTGTGCATGTTCCTCATTTTGTCCATGTTCAGTATACTTGTGTTATAACTTTACAATTTCGTTGATAAGCTTGGTGTGGACGGGGTTTAATCTTCAACATCTAGACCTCAAATGACTTGAATGCTCTGGAGTCAAGCATATGCAATGCACGCAATCTAGTGACATCGGTCACATCTTGAACATCTCAAATCTTGACTAAACCTGATGCGTGACATTTAGTATAAATACAATTAAGAGTTTTAACATGGTTTTGCAGCTGAGTTTTCAATGCGAGTTCAAAGAATCACTGCTTGAAATGGTTTTCTTGAGGGAAGAATTTCCTTTTTGTTTTCTTTGTATCCAACAAATCATTTTTGGTGGCATTGTTCTTACAAACAAGGTCAGATTATATTGAAGATCGAAAATAATTTTTTTTTCCAAATAACTCTTGTGCCTCTTTAACAGTTTTCATTTTATGGGCCCCGTCTAAAGACATTTTGAATCAGATAACAGGAGATTCAGGAACACATTCACAAACCAAATTCACAAACATTCTTTTATGCTGCCACTCTACACCTTAAGAGATTAACCTTTTTTTTTTGGTGAACTTTTGCTGATAGGTGAAATAGCTAACCTTTTTTTTTTGGTGAACTTTTGCTGATAGGTGAAATAGCTTTCTGTTTTCTGATTCTCCAGAGACGTTTCCCTCTTATATTTATTATTTGGTGGGAGAATAGGCGTATTAGTTACTATATTGTTCTATAATTGGCCAAGGTCATACTAAATGGGAAGTTTGACTTCTTGAAACATCGTTGTTTAACTTAAACAGAAATGTTACACTCAGCTGTAAGTTTATATATTTGTTTAAATCCCCTTGGCACTATATAAATTTATATAAGGAATTGTGATCCTAAGAATTCATAATGTTGCAGTGTTGATGTAGTATACTCTGGTGAAACCTGTGCTGATGCGTGGATTGAGAAAGAGGTGAGGAATAACTTGAAGCTGAAACCAACTTTACAATTTTTCTCACTTTGAAGGTAAAAGAAAAATGTTTGTTTGCTTAACTGATTTGAGTTTGCGGTTCCTATTTTGTGGTAACACAAAATCCTATGCTTGCTTATTTTTCATTTGAACTAGGGCACCCATCTTTTATCAAGAGGTAAAATATGTGATACAGGACAGAGAGATGTTGTAGGCTCGAATATCAAAGCTAATAAGGATCTTTCAGCATGGTATATAACTATATATTAGAGTTACATGACTAGCTAGGTATTTTTTTGCAAGTTGTTTATGGCAGTAAGGATTGCGGTGAAAGATTTAAAGTGAAGGGTCAAAGGTCAGGAATTAATGTTTTCAAAGGCTCGCATCAGGGCGCACCTAGGCGCCCTCTGAGGCTGGGCGTGAGGGTTGCCGCCTCTGTTTTGAGGGAGTGGGTGGAAGGCGTCGTCGGAGCTGCCTAGGCAGCGGAGGCGTGCCTCAGGGCGTCCAGGCGTATGTTTGGCTGCTTTTTATTTTTTTTAACCGCCTCATACCTCTTCCTTGCACTATCGTCTCTCTGCCTTTTTTTTCCTGATTTTTATTTTTTTATATAATGGATGTGTGTGTTGTCTGCATGCATTGTTATATGTGTGCTCGTTGTGCTTTTCATCCTCTATTATATATATATATATATAATATAATATATGTGTATATATGTGTGTATATATATTTATAATATATGTGTGTGCTCATGGTGATTATTGATTAATAATCTTCTTTTTTTTAAATATAATATATGTGTACGCTCAGTGTATATATTAAAAAATTTAGGTCCCGTGAGGCTTCACCTCATGCCTCACGCCTAGGCCAGGCTATCCCCTGGATGCCTTGCCCACGCCTCACACTTTAATTACAAAGAAAAAAAGGAACCCAGGTAAAGGGTGCTGTCTCTGGCTCCCCAAACAACAGTAATTTTGTTGTTTTAGAAGCAAGAAGTCACTGTTAAGGGAAATGTGGTTAGGTTTTGGTGTTTAGGGAAATTGCGGCTTAGTATATTAAACACATCTATTACACAAAGCTTGGTGGCAAAAACAAAAGTAAAATGGAAAAGAAAGACTGCTCAACGATTCCATCATTTTCTTTTGTTTGATTAATACATGAGAGTGCTAAAGAGAACAAAATCTGTGAAATATTTTATATTGCGACGATTGTTATCAACATCGCTATGAGCAGTTATTAGAAATTTAGCTTAATGATTGATTATTGGCTTATAATAGCTTAAAATTAGGTCTAGTTTGTAGAGTTGGTTACCATAGGAACTTATGTCCTAGGTTTTTATGTAAATTGTGTTTAATCATTTCATTTCAGTATGCAACTCGATGTTCTTCATCTCCCCTTCTAAAGTTCTTTTTCAAAATGGTATGCAAGAATCTGCTCCTAGGACCTAAACCAACTGTTATGGGGCATATTATAGATGATTATACTGGCTGCAAGCTTAGATGGTTGGTTAACAGTCTGTGGAGTTGATTACCAAATTCAGGTCTAATTTCTAGAGTTGTTACAAGTGCAATTTTATGTAAATTTTTGTGCTCCTTTCATTTGAATATGAAGTATAATGATTTTCTTCCCCTTTTCTAAAGTTCTTCTCAACAACCAGGAATAACCAGAATACCCTATATTTGATTAATTCCCTCCTCAATGGAGGACAACTATCATATGCAAAATATTTATCTAGGAAAGCAAGAGGTTTTTTTTTCTAATGTAGTTGGCAGTATAGTTCTCAAGTCAATGGCATTAAGAGGACTGGGTTCTTCTTAGGAAGTTGAGAAAGGTGTACGAAGAGTGCAGAATTTGGTACAAAGTATGAGTCAGGGATTAACTCTTGAGTAGATTACTCATAGTTGTTTCACTCTCTCTTACAGTGAAGTCATATACTCTTCTTGGACGTAGGCAGGATTTTCCCAAGTCACATAAAATTTTGTGCATTTTTGTGATTCTTTATGTTGGCTCTATTATTTTTATCATGACTAGGGTCATCATGAACATTTTTGTTATAGTAAGACTGTAGCACAAAAATATAATATTTGAAGGGCTTGATGGAGAAATATAAGGGCATCAGTTTTAAGGAGAAGGTTTTTCTTATATATAAAAGGGTTATTACCATGTATAGCATCAGTGACAGGAACATGACCTTACATGTTGTGGCCCCAATTTCTCTTCTAATCTAAGAGTCTCATATTTCTTAAATATAACTTGGTAATCGGTAAACAAAGAGTTACATCATATATGCAGTACAAAATATTGAAATAATTTGATCTCCTGAATATCACTTCTAGTACGCCACTGCATTTGTGCACGGCTTTAGGCCTGGAATGGGTTAGCTTCGCCATACCGTTTTGAATTGCACCCCAGAATTTGTTTATCTGTAGTTTCTTTTCTTTTCTTTACTCTTTTTCTTGATCTGTAACTTGTGATGTTTCTGTACGCAACAGGTTGCAGCCTTAAGGGAGGATGGGTGCCCTAAAGTTTGGGTTGTGACCTCTGATCATATTCAGCAGCATGCAGCACATGGAGCAGTATGTGTTCTCATAACCCTACATACCTGTTTAGTAAATTTGGACTTTTATCTTTGTTAAACTATTATAGTAATCAAGGAGGTTGGATTTTAGTGCAGAAAATATAAGCATATAATATATTTGTATTTCCCTGTAAGTCCCGTTCTAGCTGCGACAAGTTTTTCTGCTTGTGCAGCATACTATTTGCAGTCAGAATCTTGAGTTTCTGGCGGGTCTAAGTTGTGATTTACTAATCTTTTATAAGTATACCCCTTCATAATTCCATCATTTGCATGTTTTCTTATACTAGTAATATTGTTCCATGATTGAGTACAGCACTCTTGCAACCTCATTCTTTTTATTTTTATCTTCAAAACAAAAAAAGAAAAAAAAGAAAAGAATTATTATTTCATGCCTCAATGTGTATTATCTGATCTTTCTCCTATGTTTCTTGGTCACTCATAAGAACTAGTCGTGAATAAGAATCTATGTGATCATTTATACAGCCTTATGTTTTATTATCTTTTAGGGGGCTTTCATTTGGAGTTGCAAGGCATTGATTTCAGAGGTGATTATTTTTAATCCAATGATGTCCAATAGTCTTCTAAACTATTGTCCTAATATCCACATGTTAGTAACTGTTAGATTTATTCAGAACACGCCTTAGTGTGTAATTGTCAGAGTGGAACGATTTATGAGTTTCTTTAGATTTGTAATCCCTATTATCAGGTTATGCATTTGTACTGTCTCATTGTTTTATGTGTTTGGTTGTTCAACTTCAATTCATGTGTTTAGTCAAAATATATCATCTGCAAGACTGCAATGCATGTGAGCCATTTTTAAGGGTTTTTGCCACTTAAACACCCCTTTAGATGACTTAGGGTAGGAATTCAGTTTACTAAAGCTATTGGGACTTGTCTTCCGTATGCTTGAATAACAAAATTCTTGCCCCAAGTTGTCTAGGGGTCTGAGAGTGGGGAGAACATACATGAAACAGTGCTCAAATGCCCAATATACGATAAGTTTATGATGGAATTTTTAGCAGAAATTGATAGAGGTGGTGCATCTACACTAGAATTTGGGTTGGTAAACGGGCAAGATTTTTTAGTTTGGGTGGTATTTGCGCACACCCCTAATACTCTAGGAGGTGTTTGTGCAAATTTTCCTTGAAAAATAAATGAGATACACAAAATATTTTTAAATCTTAATGTCGTATGAACTATGTTAAACGGGATGAGAGAATGCGTAGGGCTAGAGTGCCCATAATATGACGTATGAATCTCCCTATTGATGTACCACTGTTTATGTTGATGCAAATTCATTTCTTTTGTATAGATTAAAGCATCACAGAAGGAGTTTGAAAGAATGCTTGAAGAACATAGGTAAGTTGTATTTCAGATGAAACTTGGCATGTTAATGAAACTTTTCTGAGGATTCAAGGAAGTTACTGAGTGTCGTGTTCGTGGCTTTTTTTATTTTTATTTTTATTTTTTTAACGAAATGTCCTACTGTTTGCTGGTCAGCAAAGAGCAAATGTCAGTTTCATTCCAATGATAAATGATTTCTCATTTACCTTAAAACAGGTCTACATCTTTTCAAGGGAGATTATTAAAACACAATCTTGATTCAGAAGTTGTTGACGCTCTGAAGGATCTTAGGAGGAAGTTGTCTGAAACTGAATCGAAGTAGTTGATCAGGTTTTGTTTCAGTTCAAGCTCTCCAGTATCTACGAAAGATGTTCCGTGATGCTTATGCTGTACACAAGTATAGGATGATGTGCCGGTGTCATACATCAAATTGTGGTACAAATCAAGAGTACCTGGCCATAGAAGATTTATGTAGGTTGTGCCAGTGGAAGGGGAGGGCTTCCGTATGTTTTCAATTACTACCATGTAATATAAAGACTCGAAAATTGTTTGGATGGTTTGCCGTTGTACCTTACAAAAATTTGAGTTCTCTCATATCAATGAAATAATAATAAGTTCAAGTTAAAGAATACAAAAGGTAGGTTTTGTGCTTTAATTTCTAGAATTGGGTGACGTGTAAGTGATGTGTGCAAAATATATGTGATATGTTTCATCGTATCTTACCAGCCAGTTCAAGAGAATTTCGAAAAGAAAGGATGACAAAGATGTCTTCAACACTACATAATTGACAAGAATTTGCAAAGAAAGAGAACTTGATGAAAAGAATTGCCTGTACTTCTCAGGTCGATGAATCAATCAATATGTACTAAACCATAAACAAAAGCCACTCCCAATGAAAACCTATAGAGTAAAAGAATCAATGGAGGAGTTACAAGTGAAACAAATGGGACGAACTTTGACCGCATGCACAAGAGTACATTCATGCAAACAATAATCACATTAACCAGAGGCAATGACAATTACACATTAATATCGGAGCGCTTTGATCTGGCTGCACTGCTGATTTCTGAGTAACTAGTATGGGAAAACCTGGGAAGGCTGTAGTTTTCAGAAACCAAAACTGGTTGCTGAGGATAAAGCGTGGGAGGTGGCGTCAGATTGCGTTGCGCTGGAAGAGGAGGGAGCATGTTGTACTTGTAAGGGTCAGCACGCAAGCTGCCAACAGAGAACACTTGGTAAGAAACATCACTCGTCCAGACAGTAAAAAAAAGTCTATTGTGAGGAGAGATGATGGTGAATAAACCGTTACAGATTAGTATTCAAAACATCATGACTTGTGTTGGCATGTAACTGGCATGCCCATGGTTATAGATTAGTATTCTAAACAGTTATAGATGAAATGATGAAGAAACAGTTATATATTAGGACCCACAACACTTACGCATCTGAACACCAAAACGCAATCAATCGCCGTTTACATTTTATAACATGAAAACCATCTCACTTGTGATCCAGCATACCCGCCATAAATTATTTAGCGATGATGATAAATGAAGCAAGTTGGGGAGAACAATGTAACTGGCTGAACCTACCTGGCATTCCTGTACGAATGATCCTCGTCACTCCAATTTTCATCTACAGTCTGTGAAGGTCCTTGTACTGGTGAACCAGACCATGGATTCTGTGCAGGTAAATCATCGGAAAAATATCTTCTTCTGATCAACTGAAACAACCGAGACAAAAGTTGGATATCTTTCGTAAGGCAAAAGGAAAAAGCTAACAGCAAGAGCATGAATACAGACCGTACGGAAAAATTTCATCACAGCTTCCTTGTCATATCTTGCTTCTTTGGCAGCCTGTCAATGTTTAATAGACCAACATATATTAGAATGTAGAATAACTACAGCTGTAATAAATGGATTAATAACCATTTGTAATTCTACATTACCAACGATTCCTCAATGTGACAATCATATTCCCCATCGAGAATTAAACCTTTTCTTTTGTGGACAGAAAACAATGACTTTGTTGATCAAAGTAAAAAAGTTTTGCCTGGTCATTCATGAGAACAGATCCACAATCTAGTCAAAATAATAAGTTTGGCCTATTACATCCAAGAATTGACCTTCTCTCTAACCACAGATCACCAAACTTAAGACCAATTTATAGATAGATGCGTTTATAAATGCAAAGATTTTCTGCAGGATTTTGGCACCAATTTAGAATAACATAAGCAACCTCATTCCCAAGTAAATGACATGTAAATGGGACAGAAATAAGAATCCTATTCTGACCTTGCAACCCAAGCATCTAAACAAAGAGTTACAGTTGAAGAAAAACCTATTCAAGTACAAGTACCCACCCATTTCCATATGTTATCTCCTCTTCTCTTGCTTAAAAAAAAAAAGAAAAAAAAAAGTGATCTAATAACATCTACTAAATGTCATGGATACAACAACTAACAACCAAAAATGAATTCTTACACGTGCAGAAAATGAATTCTTAGTGATCATAAACATCTACCAAATGTCATGGCTGAACCTACGGTGTTCTCTCTTATATGGTGAATTTGGACCACGCATGCAGGAAAGTATCAACTTGAGCAATGACCCAGATTCACAATCTATAAACATAATCAGCCAGCCTAATTGATAACATTTTTCCCATATATATACACAACAACAACAACAACAACAACAAAGCCTTTTCCCACTAAGTGGGGTCGGCTAACCCATATATATACACGAATAAAAGAAAAAAACAAAGTGGCAGGCAGAAGCCTTAAAGAGTACAAAAATAAGGCCATCCCAAGCACAATAAGACTTGGGGTGTGCTATCTGCACAAGCCCTTGTACTTCTCACACACCCCTTGTTAATTTCTGTCATTTGATCTTCTTTAATTCACTCAATCCGACGGCTACAAATTAAAAGGATGTGTAGGAAGTAAAAAGGAGTGTGAATATCACAGCCCTTAAGATTTAAGACTTAAGTACCTTACATTTTTTTTGTAGCATAAATGCAATTCATACATGTATTCTATGTGTTATATTAATGATCTTGGATTATCCCTATGTTACATGATCACGTTTACGATTTAACAGTGGTTAAATGTCTTTCACATGTATTTGCAGCAGTGATGTTTGCTTCAAAATTTCCTGCGACCCTCAAAGTCGAAGGCTGGGCTGGTTCTGTGTTGTGCTGCAGTGGCATCTTCAGGAAGAAGAAGATAAGAGTTTTTTTTAAATGACTTGGCCCAATACAACGTCGTTTTGGCCAAGTCTTTCATTTTTTTTAAGTGACTTTTTTTTTTTAAACCCCCCGGCAAGTCCCCCCTCTTCATCTCCATCCTAATACCTGATTTTCCCATTGATAATTCACCCAATTCCCCAATCCTCAATTTGCCAACTCCTCAAACCCTAAATTCTCCTCAATCCCATATTTCAATTTACCTCAATCTCATACCTCAATTTGTTTCAAAATTATCCACACCACCACAATTTGTTTCAAAATTCAAGTAAGTTTTTTAGTTTTCCGTTTACAATTTTGTTACTGGTTGGTTTGATTGCTTATTTGATTGTTGATTAATTTGTTTTAAAAAGTATTATATTATATACATATAATTATAATACAATATATATCAAAAAATTTAGGTCCCATGAGGCTTCGCCTCACGCCTCAAGGCTTTCACCTAGATAGGGCTATCCAAGAAACGCCAATGCCTTCGCCTTTAAAGCATTGATTTTCAGTGATTCACGTACACATGGTGCTATAAAAAGAAATTTAAATGGCTATTTCAAGATTTTAACGTTAATAGTGACAGGAATCAGAGTTCTTGTGATTTCCCGCTTATGTGTGTAGCATGAGTTGACTCTGCGTGTATGCTAGACACTTTCTTGTGATAATGAAGGCCGGTGCACCAAAATATATCTAGCTTCTATGGAGTTTTTTCAAGAAACCTCTGTGATACCAAAATCCGGAATGAGTTGGAATCTCTTCTCTTTTATTTTACTTTTGTACCATAGAACTTAATTAAAGTTCTGTCTACTTAGGATACAACAGCTTTTTGAAGTACATGTAAAGTTTTCACTTTCTACGTCATTTGGATTATTAATGCAAAGCCTCATACTACAAATCTAATGCCATGTACCCAATGAGACAGCAAAATAAGGTCAGTTGCCTACAAGCATGTCTCATACGACCACAACTATATTCATTGAATGCTAAGTTACCATATACTAATTTCATTTTCATTAGAATAATGTGTACAGCGTCAATCAATGAACAAGGAAAAAAAGGTAGGAAGGAAAACAAGAGGAAGGAAAACAAGAACAAAAAACCTGCTGCTTACCGCAATAAGGCCTCCAGCACCAGGGAAGCTCTCAGTCAGTGGAAGTTCCTCACTGGATGGAAGCAAACCTTGTTTCTCAACCCACTGCCGAGCTACATCAACAAGATTTCCACTGCTCCCCCTTGTACCCTCTTTTGCAGCAATATCAGCTTTGTTACCTATAACAATATACGGGACAGGAAGGCCACCAGGACCTCCAGATCCTAGTGGAGCTGAAAATGTCCCAGTTGCAGCAATCTCAGCTGCCCACTTCTGTAAGCCAGTTTTTGTCCTTCTCTGGGAGAGATCATGAACAAAGATTACACCTGCATATGAATGTCAAGTGTATCATGAGCTGAAAAATCTAAATCTGGCTGCAACATGCTGGTTCCTTTGCTTTTGATAGGAAATAAATTGTGGATGATCATATTGATCGTAACTGTATGCCACCATGACTTACCACTAAAACTTTGTCAACACCTATCAAGCTTGTTTCATCATTATGCATATAGAACATGGATGCAACAAGAGATGAAAAAATGGTTAAATTTATGCAATTACAAGCCTAAGAAAGGCTGATGGTTTCTAAATTAAAGATAAATACTCAATTAAATTGTCCCTTAGACTTTTTTTACTTCACGGCCTTTTCTTTTACATATATTAACATGCATAGTATTTGCCAGGAGACTAAAATGTTTACAGAGGGAGAGAGGTCTCAAACTTGCCATTAATTTGGGAATAAAAAAGAGACCGGCATTCTTTGTATCTATCATGTCCAGACACATCCCAGAGTTCAATAAAGAAATCTCTCTCAGCGTCACCCTTAATGCTGCTTGACGAGCTACCCGAGTTTCCGTACGTAGTATGCTGGACGGAAAAATGGTAAACAATTATTTAGACTTCAAGTTCAGCAAAAGTTCTCAATATCCCATCAGAATCAACGAAACGATAAATTCTCACCTTTACACCTACTGTACACCCTACTGTCTGAGGAGGACGTGCGATGGAAGAACCCTTGACAATCAGATGAACAAGAGAAGTTTTTCCAACACCTGCCAATACACCACCAATATAAAGACAAAGTTTGATATTTATAACTGAAATTATGAGATGTAGTGTACAACCAAGCAGAGATTGGATAAAGAAAATCGTCCTTGATGCACTATAAAATTGTTTTTTTTTACACACATTAGTGGGTGTTAAATTACAGGTTTATAGGGCTCCAATTCTGCCTACCAAATACTAATTTGAGCAATGCATTATCATAAACATTTAAGCAATTACTCTTCTAGTAAGCTAAGATTGGGAGCAGCCTCTCCATAAATGGGGGTAAGGCTAGCCGACATTCACCTCTCCCAGACCCTGCGTAAAGCGGGAGCCTTGTGCACTGGGTACGACCTTTTTACTCTTCTAGTAAGCTAAGATGATATAAATTTAACAATCGTCGTACCCAGTGCACAAGGTCCAAAGACGTAAACGGAACTTTCTCAATCCACAAATGAAATGTGTAGATATCGATTAATCAAGTTCCAAAAGTTCCATGACAAGCGACTCTCGTGTGTCAGTTAAGCCTTCGAGTTCAATTGCTTCGGCTAACTTAGCACGGTTGTACTTGTTAATCCAATTATTCTTTAATCGAACTAGTTCAGAGAGCAGCAACCACTGTGGTCAGAACTGTCCTGTCCCCAAACTCATCTACAACAATTTGGCACCAAAGTTGTAATGAAACTTTATTCTCACTATCCATATTCTTCATCAAATTACATAGAGCAGGATCAAGAAGAAAGTAATCAATCAAAATTGGGAAAACCGACGCACAAAGAAATTAAAAGAAAATCAAAAGTTAGAAAAAGAAAGAAATACCAGAGTCGCCAACAACGAGCACTCGAACCTGGCCACAAGGCGGACCGCCGCCACCGTTTTGGTTTTTGTGTGTCCCTCGCACGGTCCCTCCAGAACATGTTGTCCTCCGACTCGAAGACCTTTCGAACAAATATATAGTCACCTAACCTAACCTCAGAATGAAATCTCAAGTCCCATCAAAATCAAACACGCACAAAATCCAACATTTTCTCCAAATCTCTACTTTAAATCTAAATTCCATCTTTCTTGCATCACCACCAACCCACCAAGACCATCTCTGAACATGTCCCCAAGCCAAAACCTAGTTTCAAGTTTCACCCACAGATCCAAGTCTCTATGAAATCAAAGTAGCAACTGGATTTGGCGTAGAGTTCAAGCACCGAATGATACAAGAAGGATCTGAATTTCTGAAAAATGTGAGGTGACTGAGAGGGTTAATAATTGAACGTAATCATCCGTTTCTTTTCTTTTGCTTGTATATCGTGTCTCTCTCTGTGGATTGATTCAAAAAACAATTTAATCAAAACAAGGTGGGGCAATTTAGTACCAATATAGTACCCTCGTTTGAAGATTTTGCACCGAAATACCGTCATCTAGTGAGATCTTATTTCAGGTGCAATTTAGTATTTTCAACTTCAGCTTCGGTTAGAATTTGTTTTCCTACGAAAGATATATTAACATTAATCGGATGGGGAATAAGCTGATTACGAGCTAGCACCAAAAAAAATAAAAAAAATCATCATTTATGAGTTTTAAATTGGCTAAAATAGTCAAAATGGTTCCCCAGATTTGCATAACTCATCAATTTGGTCCTTAACATTTCAAATCGATAAAAGTGGTCCCTAAGATTGTCTACCATCCATCATTTTGGTCATTCCGGTAAAAACTCCGTCAAGTTTTCCGAAGCTATTGATCGAAAGTTTGGACAATTTTTAAAGTTTCGTAACTCAATCGTTTATTAATCAAATTTGACCCATAATATATCAAAATGAAGATAGGAAAGTGTAGAATAAGATTATCTCTATTTGGAATCCCAATGGCTGCTGGAGATAGCCGGAAAATAGTCTCAAAGTTGATTGGTCCGAGGGAGAATTGGAAAACTCGCCGGAAACTGGGTAAAATTTAAACGTTCATAACTTCTTCAATACTCAACAAAATCAAGTGATTAAAAATCAAAAATCATACTTCTCGACGAGACGAAGAAAATGGTACATTTTTAGATGGCTAAATTTCCGTGGTTTGGCCGAAAAACGGCTCGAAAGTGGCTAACTCGAGACCAAGACAGCCACTTTTGAGCCGTTTTTCGGCCAAATCAGGTCAATTTAGCCATCTAAAAATTGACCAGTTTATTCGTCTCATCGAGAAGTATGATTTTCATTTTTGAATCACTTGATTTCGTTGCGTATTGAAGAAGTTATGAACGTTTAAAGTTTACCCAGTTTCTAGCGAGTTTTCTAGTTTTCCCTCGGACCAGTCAACTTTGAGGCTATTTTCCAGCTATCTCCGACAGCCACTGGGCTTCCAAATAATTGATATATATTTTGATATATTATGGGTCGAATTTGGTTAAGAAACAATTGAGTTACGAAGTTTTGAAAATTGCCCAAACTTCCAGCCAAGAGCTCCGGGACACTTAACAGAGTTTTTAACGGAATGACCAAAATGATGGATAGTGGACAATCTCAGGGACCACTTTTATCGATTTGAAATGTTAGGGACCAAAGTGATGTGTTATGCAAATCTCAGAGACCATTTTGACTATTTAGCCTTTTAAATTTAAAACTTCTCATAAGAGTGATATCACTATAGACTGTAGTACTAAAAACATCTCTATTAAAAATACGAATTGCCTTCAAATGGGCATTTTACTAAAAAAATGTATATCTATATCTTAGGATGTGGTTTTGCCGGTGAACTAGAGTAAAATAAATAAGATTTCAAATTTGCATCTTTTCTATTAAAGAATAAATTTTATTTACAATTTTCGGAGATGTAAAGTAAGATGCAAATACGGTGTTTATAACTCAAATTTGCATCTTTCCATTGTTGATGCTCTAAGTAGTGGCTAAAATAATTAGTTGGCCTATAAAAAGAACATACACTATTTTTTTTCTCTTACAAACTTATGTTTAATTATGTCGTTATTTATGTTGATTTATATAACCCAATAATCATAAATAGAGAAGAGTGATTGAGACTAATAAGTAAGAATAGAGGAAAATTTTGTTTAGACCCAACTTAAGAACAAACATGTTACAATAGGCTCTCTACAAAGTTAGACATTCAGCCCAAGGCAAATTGGATATGGCGGAATTTGCACGTTCAAACTAAAGACAATAATTAAGAGAAAAAAATGCTAAACTACTAGCCGGGGTGAAAATTGTCACAGTAAAAAATTTAAGGAAAACTAATTAAAAGGGTTTGAAAACTTTGAGTTTTAATGATAAGGACAAAATAAAGGGTAAAATGAATAGTACCAGGATTGACATTTTAGTATAAAAATATGATTTTTTGTTAAAGTGAATTCGTTAAAGTTCTAAAAAATTTATAGCCTCTGATTTGGTCGAGGTGGTTTTCATTTACTAGCGCGCAGGTGGTCACTCTATAGAGAAAGCCGGGAGCAAGTTTGGTGCTTTGTGTCGCTGAATGCTTCCTGAACTCCGACACCGTTTCTTCCTAAGTCAGGATCAACAACTAATCTCCATCAATAAAAAGCAGCCCCCTACTCTCAATTGTCGCACATCTTTCGCTAGTGACCATCGGAGTAGCTGCCATGTAGAAAGCAAATCGAAAGTAGAACCGCGGAACGCATCAGAACACAAACAAATCAAACCAAAATAAAAAAGAACACATGAACCAAAAGACAAACTATGGAGTGCCGGGACTAATTAAGTCGCCTAAATTAATTGCACCAAGAAAGTGAACACTAAAATAGCACAACAACAAAAACCTTAACAAATTTTCTCCAGTCGCGATCCCTTGTTAGGGCTTGGGGTCGGCTTCAGCCCTCCTTCCTCTCCCTTACTCTTCATTCTTCTTTACATTTCAAGCCTTAACTGCGCCTCACCCTTCCTCATCTTTCTACCCACGAATTAGTGAGCAACTTTCCATGTTTTATGCAGTGTCATTCCCAAATTCCTCTTTTCGCACTTTTTTTGGGATAGATCAGTGGGTTTAGTTTGGTCTTTGTGGTTGGGGTGGATTGAAAGCGCCCTTTATCGCTTGATTTCATGTTGTTAATGCATTCCTTGGCCGTTTTGGTGGCTGAGCGGTCTTCCACACCCATATTTGTGCTAAATCTACCATGCTTGGTGACACGCCCCGATTCCGGTGTCCGAAGGACAACGGGATGGCCATGTGCTGGTTGATACCGAGGGTGACACAAGCAATTTCATGAATGCATATGCCGAGAACATGTGAAACATGCATATAAATTTCGCGCATAACTACACAATGAAATATTTAAATACCAACCTTACAAAATAATATAATAATATTCAACTGCCAACAAAATAATAGTGATAATGGATGACATGTTCAAAGCATACTACTAATTCAGAATACAAGCGGAAGGTATAATAGAAGGTGCTATTACAAGAGATGTCCAAAGCGGACATGAGGACACAAGTTCACTAATATAGGAATGACTCGTAACTCGGATCATATGCCTTGTTCCTAAGTCCTGAGCGGTTGCAAAACAAAACATGAGTGGTCCAAGTTTTTATATAGAAATACTAACACAGTTATACATCAACGTACTAACCCCTAGTTTAGAAAACTCATATAGCATAATAAGTAATAGGTTTTCCGAAAACCCTAGCATGCCATAAAACCTTTGACACGCCCTGATCCCGATGTTCGGGGGACAGCGGGATGGCCATGTGTTGGTTGACATCAGAGGGTGACGCAAGCCATTTAATGAATGCATATGTCGAGAACATGTGAAACATGCATAAAATTTTTGCTGCGCGCTACATAATGTAATATTCAAATACAAATCTTACCAAAATAATATAATAATATTCAGTCGTCAATAAAATGATAGTGATAATGCATCATATGTTCAGAGCATACATCTAATTCAGAATACAAGAGGAAGGTGTGACAGAAAGTGGTATTACAAGTGATGTCAAAAGCAGAGAGGATGACATGATATCATTGGTAGGGAAATGCCTCGTAGCTCGGATCGTACGCCTCATTCCTATGTCTTGAGGGGGCACAAACACACATGAGTGGACCAAGTTGATATATAAGTAGTACTAACATATTTATTCAACAACATACTAACCCCTAAAGTTTATGGAAACTCATATAGCATAATAAGTAATAGATTTTCCGAAAACCCTAGCATGCCATAAAACCTTTCATAAAACATATATCATATAATGTGCTTAATAGTGGCATCGTATATCAATATCTCATGGCCGAAGCCACCAACCTACTCCTAGTAGAAGCCGATATAAGTATTTCTCGACCGAAGCCACCAATCTACACTTAGCTGAAGCCAATATAAGTATCATCTCGGCTGAAGCCACCAACTTACGCCCGACCGAAGCCAATATAAGTATCATTGCCTGTAGGCAGAACAGTGACCACTAGATAAGCACAAAAATCATTGAACATAATATTTCCAAACATAATATATATATCTTATCGAAGCTTAGTAGCTCAAACATCATATCTCAAAACATCTTTGTAGTATATAGTCATCGATCATATATACTACAAAGAACATGAAAATCGATAAAGTATGGTATTCCAAAATATTCTCAGTAAAGCATGATATCTCATAAAGTGTAAATCTAACTTACTCATAAACGTTTCATAAAACGTAACCATTAATGCTTTTCAAGAATGCATTTCTAATAGTAAAATATGCATTTTTGAAGGGATCCACTCACAGTTACTCTGTCGTCGAAGAGCCATGCAAAATAAGAAGAACGCAATCGCCGCTAATAAACACACTTAAGCACATAAGGGGTCCAATTAATAAACCTCTATCATAACGATTGAATTTCGGAAAACGGACGTTATAAATGGATTCAGGACTTCAAAAAACATAAAGGGGAACCTTGGGTACCCCCATGCGCCAAGATGGGTCACTGGAAAGTTGGCGGAAAAGTCACCAATATCACCGTGGACGGCGGCGGAGCACAATACCTCTGACAGAGGTGTGTGTGCTCCACATGCTAGCACATGCGGCCCTTCATGTGCACCCACGCGCCACTCACGCATGGCCTAGGTTCTGGGCTCTGACTGGGTTTGGGCTTGGGCCTGGGGTTCTGGACTTAGGCTTGGGATCCTAGGGTTCAATGGGCCGAAGGCCCGAGTTTGCAAGGCCCAAAGGCCTCGATTAAAATGGGGTTTTGGGCTTGAAAGCCCGACCCAAAGCTTTGGGCTAGAAAACCTAGGTTTTCAGGTTTGGGTCGAGTTGACCCGGTTTCATTAAGGAAAAAGGCCAAAGCCTCCTGAGCTCCAGTCAACGTCGATTCACAACCCTACCCTACAATCTACCTACCACAATGAAGATAAAGATGAGAGG